ATCTCTTGGCGCCGAAATCCTCGCTCGACCAGATCGTCTGCTGACCAAAACGTACGAGGGCTCGGTATTGCATCATGCGTTTCCGTCCTCGTGATTGGTTAACATGTATTTTTAGCGTGGAATTTGTTTACCCGCGATTCTCTTTCATCGTACCATGGGTGTTGAAAATGGCTCATTATTATAACTGCATCGATTATGACTAGTAGTTCAGAAAGAGTAAGTTCTACCTGGTCAAGAGATGACATTACAAGCTGTGAGTGTAAAGAAAAGCCGTTTAGACACGTTCAGTGTCCTTGCTTTGGATGCCAGGGCAGAGCAACTGACCGAAAAACAGAGCTTCGACATTGGAAAGAAACACATGAATTTGCGGTCGAAAACAGTTCTTACCAATCAGATGTTGAATCTGACATTTTTCACGATATTCTGCTCGAACAAGATACATATGATAAGCTGTGTGGGGAAGAGAACGGAACTCTAGGAGACCCTGATTCTCCGCTAGTGGAACCGCTTGACAGTAGTGAACAAGAGGACGCTGATGACATCGATGTTGAATAAAACCCTTTGAAAGAGATAGTGGTTAAAGCTGTACTGGATGCTCTTAGAATAAAGCATCAAAGTGGGGCATCGGTAAGAATATTTGAGGATGTTTTGGAGTACGGAAAGAAACTGTTCTTTCTTTCTCTAAACGAGGATGTGGATGTCGAGGTTTTGACAAAAAAGCTGGAACGATGTACAGTTTCTTTTAAAAGACCAGGGATATGAAGATGTTAAAGAATTCTTTGTTTGTTTCTGTTTTGAGGAAAAGGTAATCACAAAAGATGGAAAAAACTACCAAGAAAACTGTCTACCATGGCACATACAGCATCATGGATAGCAAACAAGGAAAATGTCCTTACGGTGATAATGCTGGTAACATAAATTATTTGTATTTGGGTCTCAAGAATAAGGTGAAGAACTTGTTCAGAAATAAAACTATGTGTAACAAATGCTTGCACATTGGATTAAGAAAGATCACTGGCTAGCAAATGGCTTGGATTACCGATTAAAGAAAGAGCTTTGGGATGGGAAGCGGTGGTCAGAGCTCGAGTGGTTTTGGAACCCAGATAGCACATGGACTTTGCCAACCTGTTGTGTACACTGTGACATTCTCATACCTGCAAACCATCTCATTAACTCACAAGCTAAAGATCAAGATGGGGATAGCAATGTGAAAATTGTTGAGTTTCCTGTTTGTTTTGAATAATTTGAACACCGTATTAGAAAGACAAAAGGCTCCCCATTAAACGTGCCGCTTGTGGGGCACTTTGATGGCTGGCAGCTATTTGGTTCAAGCTACAGGGGGTCTGGATCCTTTGCAGCTTCTGTTGCTAACATGAAAAAGGCTGAAAGAAATCCCGTGGAGGAAGTTTACGTGGTAAGTTTTGTGCCTTGTTCCCAAGTTCCTAATCTACGAAATGGATTGGACCCTTTTTGGCAGCCTGTAATGAATGATCTGTGTGAGGGATTTATTGAAGGTTATAAATTGAACTACCCTAAAGGAATCACAATTCCAGGTTTTCCATCTCATGAGGAAATAGTTCGATTGCTTTTACTGGTGTGGACAGCTGATCATCCTGGTCAATGCGAAACAGGGAAGTTTCTTAACCAAATGTGCATGTGCATGTCGCAGATGTAAACTGGTCGGTCGACATCTACAGAATAGCTCAAATACACACTATTACTATGGACAAATCGCTTGCATTTTAGACACCCTTGGAGAGAGAGGGTCATTGAATCAGAACTTGGAAATATTTTTGATATTGAGAATGAAACAAGACCAAGTGTTTGGAAAAGAATGTCATCAAAAAAAGGCTTTACCGGACTGTCCCTTTTTCACAAGTATCTTTACAACCTTTATGGATTTGACATTTTGAATCATCTTTTTTATGATGCCTATCACACAATTGCCCTGAATGTGGTCAAGAATCAGTTGTCTAGAGCTTTGGAGTTGGAGATGCTTGACAAAACAGGGCTTGATAAACAAATTGGTAACTTTCCATGGACTGGTGAATTAAAAGATGGCAGACTTACAAAACAACTGGGTAAATATTGCAAAGGTATTGGATATTGGAAAGCTGAAAGTTTCCAGAAATTTTCATTTCCAATGGCAGCATGCATTATGGAAAGCCAACTTACTAATGCTAAGGAATATGAAATTGTCTCCCTAATGCAAGATTGACAGAGCTGCACTTTCATGGTGAAAGGAATGGATGGACTCTTGACATGATCAAACGGCACCAGAAATTGGCATGGCGGTTAAATATATTAGTGGAAGAAGTACAAGGGTTGGCATTGTGTACCATCTCAATGCACAACTTACTTCATATTCATGAAGACATCATAAATTTCTCAACCTCGGATAATGTTTGGTGTGCAGTGTATGAAAGAACTGTTAAGGAGTATGTAAAGATGTCTCACAATGGAAAAAACATCGAAGCTACATTTGCCCATGTAGAGTCAATAAGAGAGTACTCAAAATCAATGGAGGAAAAAGAACAAACTAGCCTTGGAAAGCATGATGTTTTACTGGCGAATTTGAAACTCTTGACAAATTCACATAACCCATAAATTTTTGTGAATAAAATAATATTATAAAACTCTGAATTTCCCCTTCCCTTGTTCTACATTATCATTATTGTTATTATTATTATTATTATTTTTTTTTTTTATAGTGCAGATATAATTTGCTGTTCAAGAATGTAACAAGTTCTTGATATCCAATGTGTCTTTTCTTGTTTCTTCATATAGGGGATAGCTTGCTCAAGTGAAACAGCCAAGGCACTGTGTGAAATGGAGCCTCCTCCAAGGGATGCTTTTCTCATCGGTTCAGTATCAAACATTAAGCCTCTTACTATGGGTGACCAAGACAAAATAGCTGAACTGTTGTGTGTACTTAGTTGGAAAGTTCCAGAGGCCACATTTGTTTCAAAGAGATGTTTTAAATCAGACATTGCTTTCAATGGAACTGTTTTTGCTTTTGGTGACAATTTCATAGTGTCCGCCAATGGACAAGAACATATAGTCCAGCTGCAAGGATTTTTTTCTGTCAACACTGATGGTAACTTGAACAGTTTATTAGGTCATAGATTTCTTTATCCATTGCATCTTACAGAGACTGGTGTAGTCGACACCCACTATTAGAGTGGCTTTGTCAAGGTTGAGAGCGAGCCAAATCCCAGGTCCATAGTGTTTAAAGTTGCCAACATTTCCCGGAAAGTTATTCTGTACCCATACAATGACAATTTACTGACAGTAGTAGATTACATGCGTCATCATGAAAATTGTCCTTGTGAATTAATCGTACCTGTTTATCCTTAAAGAGGGGACATGATTCTTGTTCGGGGTGAGTGCTGTGGAGACATTTGGCATGGTCATGTACAAAGTGTAGATTTTGTCAACAGAACGGTAGATGTCTCCTTTTCATTCCAAGTAGGAGACTTACTCATTACAATACATATGTGAGGGAATCACATGGCAGGTCAGTAAGGAATGTTGTGGCTTGGGATTCAATCACTGGAATTGCCGAAGGACACTGGAGTAGTATTTCAACATGGGTGAAGGCAACTTAAAAAAATATTGAATATTGTAATTAAGGCAAAATGCTTACTTTTTGGTATAAGCTCATAAGGAAATGTATCAACAATGCCATCAGCAGTATAGTTGTAGTATCCAATTTGTAATTTGATTTTATGTTTCTGTCACATGTTAATGTGGTTATAAACTTACATTTCATTAAGTGCATG